CGTTGCGAGATCAATATGAAGGTTGGCATCCGAATAACCACTCAAATGAGGACTTTAATGGTGCAAAAAGAAAGGTGCCACTTAATACTGTGACACTACCCCCGCTTCAAGGTTCAGACTCCAGATGAACTGAGTAAATGCTAAGGTAAATGGTACCCTCGCTTCAGGTTCTGACTTCCAGGGTGGAATGGCAGGGTGTGTTGTGTGAATGGCATCTAAGACTTTTGCTAGCAGCAAAAGGGGGTGATGCAGTTTGATGACTTGCTCAGGTAAATGGTGCACTTGTGTGGCTAACAGTTCTTGGTCCTAGATGTCTGACATCGCAGACAGCGCTATTGGCTTCTGTTGCTCAAAATGATGTGCAAAAGGGGTTGCAGTTTAAAGACATGTGCTTGGTCATTCATGGCGCTCAAAGCTGCCAAAAATTGAACAGTTTAACGACGTGCTAAGGTCATTGGTGGTGACGCATTTGACTTGATCGTCGCATTTAAAAAGTAGGGGTTATAGATGCAAAAACATAGTTTTTGATTGCGGATGCAATCTCCTTATCCTCGGTCTTCAGTCAAGATCTCGTGCTTTTGTGTTACGGCTGTCGAGTCAGAAATTATGTCATGATATTGTTTGCCTCCACTGAGATTCGACCCTGTGCTCGTTGAGGGTCGAGCGGGACCTGAGGATGTGTCAGGTGATCTCTGGAAGACTTAAACATCATGGCTTAACCCCTAAGCCACTTGAACGGTGAAGTACTAAGTTCAAATCTCGACCAGTATATGTTTTTTGACATCGATAAGATAAGATTCTATGGGCACCTAGTCACGTGTTTGAAGGTATGACATATTTTGATCGATTGTGATCATGTTTGATCCGTCAATCGAGTCATGATAGACTTTCTGATCGATCATGATCTTGGTTGATCTGTGATCCGTGATGATGTCATACATTTGGGTGGCGCTCAAAGCTGCTATAGTGGTGTAGTTTTAACGACTTGCTCAGGTCCATGATGGTGCTCAAAGCTGCCAAATGATAGGATGCCCTTGGTCAGAGGGCTGTTCCAAAGATTGTGTCTTGTACCCAAAAGGTTGCCTATGTCTTTTTAGGATTTTATATAGAATAGCTGCCGTGTTTGCATTGTTGTATGCAAGTAGATGTGTTCCCCAACGCTGTTTATACTTGTTGACAATGGTCTCTCGATTGCCCTTTAGGTTGGCATGCTATGTAGGCAAAAGTTTAAAAAATGGAAGGTTTGAAAATGTGATCCTTTGACGCTGCTTGGATCATCCTTGACTTGCTTATGCTCGTCTTCGGACATGTGATCCTAATTGCTTCACGGACCCTTCTCGACTCTTCGAATAGGACATGCGCTCGGTACTTGCTATATATCTTTAAGTGCTGCACTTCTTATGCGCACGTCTTCAGATAAGCTCGTACATACTCGCTGTATCCTACATTACCTCCCCCTTGCCAGGTTCCTCCCGGAACCGATGCGGCATGAGCGAGTTAAAACAAGACTGGGGGGCACAAAAGTAAGGGAGGGTGGGTGGGAGAAAAAGCCTTATAACTTTTGGGGAAAAGGTGGTTTAGGCATCCCATAGCAAATAAATTACTAATTGTTGCGCAATATGTAGTAATTCTGAGACC